CCCACGGCCCTGGTGGGCAGCGACGTGGAGTTCTTCTGCAAGGTCTACAGTGATGCCCAGCCCCACATCCAGTGGCTGAAGCACATCGAGGTGAACGGCAGCAGCTACGGTCCTGATGGGGTCCCCTATGTGCAAGTGCTCAAGGTAACAAGGGCTGGAAGCACCCAAGACCCAGACGCCTATCCCGAAGTGGTGACGGGGTGCACAAGCCCCCCGAGAAGAAAGGATGCTGAGCATCCATCGCTTTCCCTGGCAGACTGCAGACATCAACAGCTCCGAGGTGGAGGTGCTGTACCTGCGCAACGTCTCCATGGAGGATGCTGGCGAGTACCCCTGCCTGGCGGGGAACTCCATTGGCCTCTCCTACCAGTCGGCCTGGCTCACCGTGCTGCCGGGTAAGGGTGGGGTCCTGGGGTGGGACCATGACTGCTTGTCAGGGGTCCCAGGGACCATGACTCAGGTCAACCCATCTGCTCTCTCCAGAAGAGGAGCTGGTTCGGGAAGCTGAAGCCCCTGAGGCCAAGTACACGGACATTATCATCTACACCTCGGGTTCACTGGCGGTGGCCATGGCCATCATCATCGTGGTGCTGTGCCGGATGCAGACTCAGTCAAGCAAACAGCCCCTGGAGCCCATGGCGGTCCACAAGCTCTCCAAATTCCCGCTCATCCGACAGGTGGGTGCCAAACTGGAGTCCTGGAGGGGGCGGGAGGTCCGTGGTGACCAACTGGCTCTCTGAGTGCCACCTGTGGCCATCACACCTTACCCTGCTCTCAGCCTTGAGGCTGCCCTCCCCACTGCCTCCCGCAGCTCCCTCGCCTTGTTGCTCTGAATGAGGGTCTCTCTGCAGCACCATTGTGTCTCTGTTTGGCCTCAGAGCACTGGGTGGGATGGCTGAGGTCCCTTGGGCTCTCTCCACAGTTCTCCCTGGACTCCAGCTCCTCCGGGAAGTCCAGCACGTCCCTGATGCGCGTCACTCGTCTCTCCTCCAGCTGTGCCCCGATGCTGGCTGGGGTCATGGAACTGGACCTGCCCCTTGATGCCAAATGGGAGTTCCCTCGAGACAAGTACGGTGCCAGGTGGCGCGGGGCAGTCTGGGTCTGGGGGCTGCTCTCCCCAGCCACCCCAGGGACAGCAGCACATGGGTGACAGACAGGGAGGTCTCCAGCCATCACCAGACACCTCAGCACCGCCGTACCCTGGGGCACTGGGTCTCGGCTTGGACCGGAGAGGGGCAGCCATGCGGGCTCCACCCCCTGGGGTTG